ATTGGTTTGGAGGAAGAGGAGTGGCTGTGATTTTGTTCCTATTGTAGTTATTTTACCTGAATACTATAAACGTTTCTGGAGTGATTAAAATGTTAAGAAAACATTAACTTAAGGGTTCACGTTGGTGATTCTCCCAGATATTTCAAATTTTGTTCTTCTATCACAAGCCATCTGTTAATATATTTAAACTTTTCTGTAACTGTGATACTTTTATGTATATGCTTAATTACACAGAAATCACAAAAATGGTTAAAATTTTGTTACACTTCAAAAATACTAATTACATTCAGCACAGTGACAATTAGTAGAGTTTTTCTGGGTTTTTGCTATGTATTTCACAGGTGGATATCCAGGTAAGATCAGTATTTCTGTTTAAGATTGAATCCATGTTTTTAGAATTGTCTGCTTAGATAAGCTGTTGATTTGCTGTAATATTTTATCGTGTGCATGAATTGTTAGCGTAACTTTTGAAATAAGGTAACTGCTTATTTTAAAATTGTTATTTGCCTTTAGAAAGACTTACATATGTGTTGAGCTGTTTTTCTGACTACAAGATTGCTTCATAGATTTCCTAAATTGAGCGACTACTAGAATTATATTTGATAACAACTACAAAGTTGAATCTTGCTGCTGACAATTACTAAATAGTTTTAATTTTAGGTTGAACTAAACTAAACCAAAAGATAAGTGATGACTTTAATAAATGTCGTGGTTGAGACATTGGAGATCATATTAAAAAAAAAAATCCTGAACTTTCACCTAGGATCTCATCTCTGATAACACCCAGTAGACGCTCAATAAATGATAGTTACGTGTAGTTACAATGAAAACATGAGGCATAGTCTGAGACTGATCAGTAGTAGAAAAATGTCATGCTAGAAGTTTGCTCAGCCAGTTAACTTGAAAATCATTTTAGATGTAGGTTTTCTTGATCTATTTTTACTTTTATCATTAAATCTCAACCTCCACTTTGTTTTGAGGGATCCAAGTGAAGGCGAAGCCAGTGGCAGAACCGACCCCTCAAGGTGAGGAGCCACTCTCAATCCTTCGCTGCAGGTCCCTGTGTACGAACACGTGCTTCTGAAATGCTTACAGCACTTAGTAAACATGAAGAGAAATAATAGCTAGATAAGATGTGTATCTTAAAATTTTACATCGGGGTGGGTTTTCCTGACGTTGCCTAGCATGTAATTAAGTTTAATTAACTTTAAGTTTGTGTTTTCCAAACAATATTTTGAATTGTATTCTCTGTAAAGAAATAGCTGTTCTGTTCTATAAAATGTGTCTTAGCAGAAGTAAAATTAATAGATTACAATGTACTGACCCTTTTCTCATTAAAATAATATGACTAAAATTATCCTAAGTCAAATAGCCCAGAATTTCTTAACATGGAGGTAAGCAAATTTGTAAGATTTTATTTCAGTAATGTATTTTAGGTGAGTGTTCGGTCATGGACCGCGTCTCAAACTTCCAACCTGCAGAACTTTCTGGTTTTCTGACATTTGATCCTAGTTGTGTATTCATCCTAACTATGGGTCTCTAACTTGACATGATCAGAGTCTCCTAGAGGACTTGATAAAACAGGTTGCTGGGCCCTCCTGCTGAGGTTCTGACTCAGCAGTCTGTGGTGAGCCCTGAGATTTGCATTTCCAACACGCTCCCAGATGATGTTGATGCCGCTGCTCTAGGAACCATAGTAGGGACGTGTTGGTACTTGTGCTCCTGTTTTATGAATGAGAAGTTTCAGAAATGATGGATTAAATTATTTTGACAATATATAAACATTAAGGGATAAAAGAGAAACCTCTGACCTTGACAGGTAGCTCCTCAGTAGGACGGACGGCCTTGCTATTCATTCAGGAGGTGTCTTTGACCAGGCAAACACGTATCTCAGATTTCATTTCTATGTTTTTAATTATTTGAAATATAAAACATAATGGGCCTTGCAAAAACTTCAGGCAGCATTCCCATGTAGTCCTTTTTTAAACACTGTGCTATGTTAACATTCAGTCATTAGAGCTGAAACCATTTCTTTACTGAGTTAGGTGCCTGAGTCACCTGGTGGAAGACAAAGGGAGGCAGGAAGAACATTGGTAACTTTTTTCTACCTATTTCACAAACATGGAGGACTTTTGTTTTTAGCGCCTCCCCCCGACCACGCCCCACTTGCTCATTGCTCTGGAGCCCTTTCCTTGTATCTCACCCCGTATTTCTACTAAATTTCTAATAGTGCTGTAGTATCATGAATAGCAGCTAATATTACAGTTAGCCTATGTGCATTTTTATCCATTTAATATGATGAGGCGATTTTATGAATGTTATAAGGATTTAATAACTGATCTTATGTAAGTATTTACAAAGCATTTTTTGCAATTCCTCTCGGTGGGGTTTTGTTTCCTTGTTTGCTCTTGAACGAGGACCTGTTGAATACCTGTTCTCTGTAACGTACTGTGCCGGCCATTTAATCCTCACTACAACCGGGTGAAAAGCACCCATTTTACAGACGACGAAAGAGCAAGGAGCTTCGGTGAGATGGAACCACTTACAGTGAGGAGCTCTCCTTTCAGAGAGATGGCATGGCTTGATGGTTAAAAGCACGGGCTCTGTCCTACGCCTCCACTAGCTCTGAGATTTGAACTTTAGTGCCTCCCTTTCTTCATCCTGCCTGCCTCAGAGCATTGTCGTGAGGGTAAAGGAAGAAATGATGCATTAGGCGCTTAGAACAGTTCCTGGCTCCTAGTAGGTGCTCAGTGAATGTTAGCGGGTGCTGTTGGTGTTAGTGTTCCCAGGAGCCTTCTGCCGTTAATGTTACCAGTGGTAATGCGTTTGAGATACATGCAGAAAAAAGCCATCCTGTAGGTGCCTGTTACGGTCAGGTCACAGAGTTTCCTCGGTGGAGTGGAAGGAAAACTAGTCTTGGAATCAGGGGACCTGATTTCTCGTCTTCACTTTTCAACTCATTAGCTTCATGACCTTGGAAAAGTCATCTAAGCTTTCTGGACCTCAGTTCTGTTTTTAAATTGAGCATGTTCAGTCAGGTAATCTCTAAAGTCCCTTCCAGTTCTGACGTGCTGATTCCGTAATCTGGTTACATAGGTGGTCCTGATAAATGACTGTTGTTGCATTTGCAAGCCCTGAAAGACCTCTGATGCAATACTTAGATTCACTGAGCAAAAAAAGAATAATACAGAAGATACTGAAGTAAATACTTTCCATACTTATTTAATAGTCTTTAGAAATTTGTTTTCTCAAGTTTATACAATTTGCAGAGCCTTAGGAACTCAGATACCACTGTAGGAATAAGAGGGATACACACATATATATAAATGTATACATTGTTGTTAGGTGCTGTAGAGCCAGTTCTGACTCATAGTGACCCTATAGGGGTTTTCAAGGAGCAGCTGGTGGATTTGAACTGCCAACCTTTTGGTTAGCAACTGAGCTCTTAACCACTGTGCCACCAGGGCTCCATTTATACATTAATATGTATCGATATGATATGTATGTAAGTATAGTTTGTGTAGTGTATTATAAACTCCTTTCAAAGTGTATCATTTCTTCCTTAAATGCATACAGTGAGATAGTTTAACAAGCTAAAACAGAAACATTCCTATTTGGGTAATGACTCAACAAATGTAATTACCAGATCTTCTGATTCATAATCTATTAATTTTACCTTTTCTGTGATTATTAGAAATAGTTTTTCTGGTTGTCCATCATTTATGGAAGGTATGTCATAAGGACAATTCAGTGAGGCTCATTCCCTTCACAGAAGTGTTGTGCATCTGCCATGTGCACAGCACAGCTCTAGATGCCTCAGACACACCGGTGAACAAAACAGAAAGATCTTTGCCCTCCTGGAGTTTATACTCTAGTGACAGATTCAGACAGTACATTACAAACATAAACATAAATGAATTAAGTCATATACTAGAATAGGATAAGTGCCATAGAGAAGAGATAGAGCAGGGTCAGAGGGTCGGCCATGCCAAGGGTGGGACTGGTGGTGTGATAGGGTGGTCAGGGTAGGACTCATGTAGAAAGAGAGCAGAGATTTGAAAGAAATGAAGGCATTATTCAAGCAGCTATCTGGGGGAAAGCATTGCCAGCAGGGAGAAGAACCTGTGCCAAAGCCCTCAGAAGGCCGGCACATACTGGAATAGTGTGTAAGGAATAGCACGGAGACCGTTGTGGAGGAAAATAGCAGGCAATGTGGGGTGGGAGGTCGGAGTTGGAGTGTAGGTCATGCGCGGCCTCATAGACTATTTGGCACAGTGCTTAAGAGCTATGGCTGCTAACCACAAGGTCAGCAGTTAGAATCCACCAGCCGCTCCTTGGAAACCCTATGGGACAGTTCTACTCTGTGCTGTAGGGTCACTATGAGTCAGAATTGACTTGACAGCAGTGGGTTTAATTTTTTTTTATGAGTGGAACGGGAAACCATTGGAGGATATCAAGAAGAGTGCCACGACCTGACATTTTTACATAATTGCCGTGCAGTATTCTTTCTCAACATTATGAGTTATAAATAATTCTTGCCCTCTATAGTCATTGCTGCTGTCCTTGTTCCCAGTCTTCCGTTTACCCAAAAAAAGGCAGAAAAAAGGGCATTTTTCTTCATATTTCAGACGTGTATTTGCAAGCAGGATGTTCATGGTCCTTGTTTTGTACATATGTACAGAACATGGAGAATCTGCTTTTACATTTAAGGAACTGAAAGAAGTATGAAGTTCTTCACTTTTGGCTACAAATTTGTTTCCCACAAACAAATACATTTAAGAAGGCATGCTAATTTAGAATGAAAGTGTTAATAGAAGTCGAAACAGATGGCCTCCTGGAGTCTGTTTTTGTAAGAGCAAGGTAACCTATGTCTCTGTAGCTGCCTGAAGGTAGTGTGCAAAGTGGGTGGTTTTATTTAGGCACTCAACTTAGATTTTATGTGTGTTTTAATTTCTTTGCTGGATGCACTTTTTTTCATTCTTCCTTTTGTCCTCTTCCAGAAGTACATCAGGGGAACCAAAAGAAAGAGACAAAGAGGAGGGTAAAGACTCCAAGCCGCGTTCTTTGCGGTTCACGTGGAGCATGAAGACTACTAGTTCAATGGACCCCAATGACATGATGCGCGAAATCCGCAAAGTGTTAGATGCAAATAACTGTGATTATGAACAAAAGGAGAGGTTTTTGCTTTTCTGTGTCCATGGAGACGCTAGACAGGATAGCCTCGTCCAGTGGGAGATGGAAGTCTGCAAGTTGCCACGGCTGTCACTTAACGGGGTCCGCTTCAAGCGAATATCGGGGACATCTATTGCCTTTAAGAACATTGCATCCAAAATAGCTAATGAGCTTAAGCTGTAAAGAAACCCATATTTACAGGATCAGGGATGATACATCCATATATGAGGTACAGGTTTTGAATGTACTGGTAACTGCCGAATGTGATGGGCCTGTGAAACTCCCTATGTAGAATTTGCCCTTAATGCAATAAGGTTATACATAGTTATGAACTGTAAAATTAAAGTCTGTATGAACTATAATAAATATCTGTAGCTCAGAAACGTAGGTTCACATGTACAGGTAAGTATATTGTGTATTTCTGTTCATTTTCTGTTCATAGAGTTGTATAATAAAACAGATGATTGCTTAAAAACTTGTATAGTTGTCTAGATTTCTGCACATAAATGTATGTTTGATGCTTTGAGTTGAAAAATGTTCTTCTCTGTTATTTACATTTTGGTGGGTTTTTAAAATTCTTACCTCCATCATGCAGTTTTGAAAATTGTGTCCAGAATTAAATGTACCCAAAAATAGTCTTTACACTTGTAGCATGGACTTTTAAAAATTATTTTAAAATCATATATCGGTTTAAACCAGAAGCTGATAAATAGGTCAGCTTTTATTATACACAGAATTATTCCTGCTTATTCTTTGCTCTCATCCTTGTTATCAAACAAGGTTTGGTTGAAACGATACAAAATGTTTACAGTGTTGGCACTTACAGTTTTTAAAATAAAGTACATGAAAATAAATAATAGCTTTGCCTTGAGCTAACTACGAAGAAGTACTGGGGGAAAATTAAACCTAGGTCAAATTTCTTTTGAACGTCTAAGTGTTCTCTGGCCCACTGCTAACTATAGCAGCAAAATTAAGAAGAATAAATACTTCATCTGACTATTAACGATGTAGACTGTCGCTTAGGTTTGCTGCCTTCAGAACACCGCAGTGTAATTGTGGAAATATAATATTGGGACTGTTTCACTGCACAAGCTCATTTTTCCAGTGCTGATCAATGCAGCAGTTAAGAAATAATGCCACCTCAGGAATTAACTGGCATCGGGAACGTTTGCCTCATCATCCTTCCGTTCTCTTCATCCACCCCCTGCCACGGTAATATCTGTAAGTACTTATGAGACTTTTGAGCAAAACATCCTATTTATATAACAGTAATGTTATTGTTTTATGCTTACGGGGTTGTTCAGTTTGTTCCCATGTAACCTGTTCGTTTTTAATATTTTGCCAGATCTCTTGTATTTATTCCACATCATTATGCCTATAATGTGCAGCTTTGTAACTGGGCATTTGCCTACTTTTCTTTCCTAATGAGTGATATATGCGATGTAAAACCACTAGTAAAGGTACATTTTAATACTTGTTATTTTATACTGAATTAGCCTTGGAGGTTGACTGTGCAATGTTATTTAATGTTGTAATTACTCTAATATCAACATATGGGCCCCACCTACACACTCCCGACACATAGAAAGTGTATTCAAATTTTATCAGTTTAAAGAAGAATAAAGCTGTGATAAATACTGTCATTCTAACCTACATTCGGAAGCTCTAAGAGTAGGTGATGTGCCATTCCATAATGGCTTCCAGACTAGGATGAATTTTATGTTCTGTACTGTAACTGTGACGTAGCTTTCTTCTGTAACAGTTCTGTTCTAAAATGAAATGTAGTTTTGCCTTAGCAAAGGGTAGTGTTTGGGGGAAGAAGAAAACAACAACAGCTGTGTAGCCCCTTTTTAACCTGGTGTTCATTCCAAACAATTGATGCAAATCTTCATTCACTTCCACTGGTGCACCCTGAACTTCTACTTGAACAGTCCTCATAATAAAGCCCTTGTCTTTCGCTCTTTATCAGAATGTGCAGTACCTGTTTTCTAGTGTAAAAGTGTTTTGTTTGGGGAGTTTGTGTCATGCATTCTAAATTTAGCTGCCAAGGGATAAAGCATTATAGGTTTTCAAGATGTCATTAGACAAGCAGAGTTTTAATCCCTTTACAGGAATTCCTATCATTGACATACTTAAATATATCTGTATCTATACACACATTATATATATATGTGTGTGTGTGTGTGTGTGTGTGTGTGTGTGTGTGTGTGTGTATGTAGAGAGAGATCATGTCTTTTCCAAGGCAGAAACTGATGTTTAATTTAACATTTTCTTATTCTGGCCAGTTCTTCTTTGTTTATGGAAAGGAATTTTATTTTAATACTTTTATGAACTAAAAAATGAAATCTTTATAGTCACTTTAGATTTTTTCCCATTTTATATGTTCATGATAAACCTAGAATTTTTTTTGAAGAGTTAATTTTACAATGTGTTTGCACAAATAGATAATAGCAGTTTATGTTCATTGGCTATGTGATATCAAGGTTTCCTTGGTTTCTGTTTAAATATTATTTGATGTGCTGTCCCTTACGTTAAAAATAATTATTTTGAAGTAATTGGGGTACAGTATTTGATAAATAAAATAAGAAAAAATATCCTCCAGAATCTCGATCCAACAATGTTCTCTAAAGTAGAATTTGATATAAAACCCAAAAGTCCTTATTATGAAATGATTTTCACCAGCAGTTCTATTTCACAGTGTGGACAACAGAAATAATGTGATAAGTGAGGCACCAATTTACAGTTTAAGTGAGTGAGTCCATCAGCATGTGTAAGTTAATCAAGATGATCTCTGCCTTCATTTGTAAAGTATCTGTTAAGGCATCTACTGTGTCCTAAGACATACAAGGAGATTGTCAGAGATGGTTACTGCTCCAAGAGTTTGTTCATCAGGGAAGAGAAAATGTCAGCACACACACAACCAAAAACAGCACACCAAAATAGGAAGCAGCAAAAGTGCTCAAACAAGCACAGACAACAGATGCTAATTCAGAGAGGGCTAGTCCTGTATAGACGGGAGAAAGGAAGGCCCTTTGAAGAATTTGAAGGATGGATAACATTTAAGAGGCCCAATGGAAGGGATCCTCCAGATGGGAGAAACATGAGAAAAGGCTTGACATTAGTAAAGCTGTAAGACACATGTTGGAAACAAGCCACTTAATTCTAGGGAGCAGGAGGGTTTCCCAAGGTGGATTAATAGCAGATTATGGAGAGCACTGACTGGCAACCTCAGGTGGATCTTAATCCGTAGTTAAAAAAAGAAAAAAAAAAAAACAACAAAACCAGTGGCCATGGAGTCCGTCCCTTCTCATGGCGACCCCATGTGTTAACAGAGTAGAACCAAGCTCTCAAGGGTTTTCTTGGCAGTAATATTTACAGAAGCAGATCGCTAGGTCTTTCTTCTGCAGCACTGCTGGGTGGGTTTGAACCACCAACCTTCCAGTTAGTAGTTGAGCACAAACCGTTTGCGCCACCCGGGTACCCATTATTAAAGAATACTCTTGCATTAATGCAACAAATTTGTTGAATGCCAGTGGACGTCAGGTTTTAAAACCAAAAACCAAACCAGTTGCCCTTTAGACACTGCTGACTCATGGCAACCCACGTGTGTGAGAGTAGGACTGTGCTCCTTAGGATGTTCAATGGCTGGTTTTTCAAAAGTAGATCACCAGGCTTTTCTTCCGAGGCACCTCTGGGTGGACTCAAACTGCCAGCCTTTCAGATTAGCACATTAACTGTTTGTGCCACCCAGGGACTTCACCAGGTTTTAGGTGCTGGAGAAAAAGCAGTGAAAGAAAATCGATACAGAAGTTTATGGGCTAGATCAAAGACTAGAGCCAGAAAGATCTTTACAGAGACTGTTAGCAATACAAACAAACCCATTGCTGTAGACAGTTCTGACTCGTAGCAACTCTATAGGGCAGGGTAGAACTGCCCCATAGGGTTTCCAAGGAGCAGCTGGTGGATTCGAACTGCTGATCTTTTGGTTAGCAGCCTTAGCTCTTAAGTGTGAAATAGAGAGCCCAGGTAGGGGTGGTTAACACAGGGTGGGAAACGGTGAAAATGGACGTATTTGATGTATTTGAGAGGCGTTTCAAAAGTTATATCTACATCATTTACTAAGTAGAATATGTGGACTATAAAAAGGACAAATGGGGGCGGGGGAGCTTCCTGTCACATGATTCAACTTTCCAGCTTGCATATCCAGACTTTCACTTCCATCTAAAATGGAGTAGCAGGGACCAGATCCCTCCCACCTGAAGCAATGAAAAAAACAGTGTATGTAAAACACGGTTTTCAAGACATTGGATATCAGTCAAGGAAGGACCGTGATCTCTGAGAGAAAGCAAATGACATGAGCCCTGTGATTTCTGCCTTAAGAGAATTTCCAGGTCATGGCGTAGGGAATGGGAACCCAAGCAGAGCCTGGTGTTGCCCCTGACTGAGAGGTCAGAGCTGGGAGACCAGGGAGGCCAAGACAGCCAGAGTCTGCAGCTCAGCACTGGAGAGGGGAGAATGGTACAGAAAGAGCTCCGGAGATCTGCAGTGATCAACACGTGCACGTGAAAAAACTATTTGAGGCCACCTAAACTATTAGAAGGAACAATCACCAAACCTCCTAAAGGAGCAGTGCCTGTTCCAACCAGCCAGGGCAGAAAACCTCGGACTTCATGGAGCATTGGGTAGGATACTCAGAAGAGTTCAGCCTCGGTAGTGGGGAACTAATTAGCCTGAAACTAAATGCCCTGGCCCTGCTTAACAAAGCTTAAAAAGCAAAACCCAAAAGAATAACTGTTTCCAAGTAATTTAATCCTGGGACAAAACTCAAGAACATTTATAGCACTACAAAATGTGCATCACCCAACAAGGTAAAATTCACAATATGTAGCATCCAATCAAAAATTATTCTGCAGGAAAATACAACACATCAAGGAGAAAAATAATTGGAATGACCCAGAAATGGCAGAGGTGATAGAATTAGTAGACGAGGACATTAAAACAATTGTTACAACTACATTCCATATTTTCAAGAAGCTAGAGAAAGATTATATGAACTAGAGACCTGGACTGTATAAAGAAGACATAATTTAAGCCTCTGGAAATTAAAATTTCTGAGGTGAAACACTTAAATGGAATTAGTACCAGATTAGACACTGGAGGAGAAAAGATAGTGAACTTAGGAGACATCGCTAAAGAAACTGTCCAAAATGAAACACAGAGAGGAAAAACAGCTGAAGAAATGTGAACGGTGCATCAGTGAGCTGTAGGACAATTTCAAGTATATGTATAATTAGAGTCCTTGAGGAATAAAAGAAAGGAGGGGAGAGAAAAAAATTTTTAAGACAAAAATGGCCAAAATTTTTTCAAATTTGATGAAAACCATAAACTCACAGAGCCAAAAGTTTAATCCCAAAGTCAAGAAACGTGAAGAAAATTGTACCAAGGCATGTAATAAACAGATTACTTAAAACCAGTGATAAGAAGAAAACCTTAAAAGCACCCAGTGAAAAAAGACATGTACAGAGGAACAAAGATAAAAATGACAATGAACTTCATGTTAGAAATAACACAAGCCAAAAGACGTGGGAACAATATCTTCAAAGTACTGAAGAAAAAAAATGTCAACCTAGAATTCTGTACTCAGTAAAACATCTTTTCAAAAACAAACATGAAATACTTTCAGACAAAAACTGAAAATTCATCACCAGCAGAGCTGCACTATAAGAAATGTTGAAGGAAGTTCTTCACGCAAAAGGAAAGCTATACCAGATGGAATTTGGATCTACACGAAAGAATAAAGAACACCGGAAATAACCACTATGTTTAAAGCAAAAATAATAATAATAACAGTGTAGGATATGTAATGTAAGACTTATGACAACACAAAGGGCTGATGTAGAGAATGGAAAGTACACTCTTGTAAGGTTCTTGGACCCTATGTGTAGTGGGGTAACATCACTTGAAGATAGACTGATACTGTAAAGATAGATACTATAAACCCTAAAGGAACTACTAAAAAATACACAGTGGTTACACTAATGAGACAACAAGGGAGATAAAATGGAATTTAAAAAATAATCCAAAGAAGGCAGAAAAAAGGGGAGCAAAGAACAGATGGGAAAATAGAAAACAAATAGATGGCATTTTTAAACCGAACCATTAACCAAGAGTCACATTAAGTGTAAATGGTCTAAAAGCCCCAATTAAAAGGCTGAGATTGTCAGACTGGACAAGAAACTTGCTTTAAATATAAAGACGCAAATAAGTTAAACGTAAAAACATGAAAGAAGGGTGAGCTGCCTGATTTAGAGGTAAAATATGCTTTCTTTCAGACTTAAAATGATAGCTTCAAGATCTTCAAGCTTAACCCCTGTATTCTTCACATGAATACATTGCAGCCCAGTGCAGTGACTTGCACGTGATGACAGGACATCTAGATGGAGACGTCGACAGAAGATTATGATCTGGAACCTGGATGAAAAGTGTGATCTGAAGGCAAATTTGGATGTTATTAGCAAAGATATGATGGTTGTAGAAGCAGGACATAGTAACTGAGATCATACATAGTCATGGTCCAACAATTGGGGCTTGGGGGATAACAAGTAAATGTATGTTTTTGTTGTTAGATGCTGTTGAGTTGGTTCCGACTCAGCGACCCTATGTACAACAGTCCTGTGCCATCCTCACAATAGTTGTTATGGTTGAATCCCTTGTTGTAGCCACTGTGTCAGTCTTTCTTATTGAGGGTCTTCCTCTTTTTCTCTGACCCTCTACTGCACCAAGCATGATGTCCTTCTCCAGGGACTGGTCCCTCCTGATAACATGTCCAAAGTATGTGAGATGAAGTCTTGCCATCCTTGCTTCTAATGAGCATTCTGGCTGTACTTCTTCCAAGATAGATTTATTTGTTCTTCTGGCAGTCCATGGTATATTCAGTATTCTTTGCTAACACCAAAATTCAAAG